CAACTATTTTTTACTTAGAGGTTAAATGGTAAAAATCGCACACAAATCATACGACGTCACTGACAACGCCGGGGACGGCAACTCGATTTTGGGATTAATTTTCCGAATATACTAAATAACTTCCAATGACAACCTATTGTCTTCAGTTGTCTTTGTTGGTCATTTAACTGTCGTTTTATCTATTTTTTCGGTGATATTTTCGTCGGAAGGTATCAAGATGATAAACAAGTTTCATTAGACTAAATTCTTGCTTATGCCACTGCGGTGGGGTTCCAGGCAGCCACGGATATTTGACGAATTATGGCGAATTTTTATTACTTATTTGATAGGCATCGAGCTACTATAATATAACTTCATGTAGGCTATGTTTTCTAATGTCGAAATCAGCTTCGAAAACCAAAACATTTTGAATAAAACAAGAAACAAAGAGTTTGCAATGCAACCATCTAATTTCCTTACAAATCCTCTTTTTTTAAAGTGGAATTCTACATTATGGAAATTTTGCACGAAATCTGTCAACCACGATGTCAAGGTCGAGATTGCTTCCCCTATCGCGATGTATTCCAAGCATCATGAGGCTATCCAAACGAGCATTTGTCCTAACAGAACGCAAAATATTTTAAATTAGTGTCATTGAATTATTATTATTATCATTATTATTATTATTATTATTATTATTATTATTATTATTATTATTATTATTATTATTATTATTATTATTATTATTGGCGCCACCACTGGATTCAATAATCTGCTGTATACCTTGCTTTGCCATTTTCGATAGGTGAATAGGACCGAATTGTAACTTTAGAGCACTGGTGAATATTTATTACTTCGTAATTTGCATAACGAATTATTTATAAACCATGCTTCCTACGATGTCATTATTACACGTGTGCATTACATATACTGTAATGAGTTTGAAATCCAAGCATATTTATAAAGAAATGTAAAAGCAGTTATTTATAAATAATGACTTTGAAGTCAATTCGTTATTTATATATAATGAAATCAGTGAACTTATTATATATAAATAATTGTAAGTTACTTTTCATTATTTATATATAATGATTGTTACCTTTTCATTATTTATATATAATGGAATCAGTGAACTTATTATATATAAATAATTGTAAGTTATTTTTCATTATTGCCTCATACATTGTACCCCGGCCTAGCTACCTGAAATGAAATAGTAGACTCCAAACAGACGTAGCGCGGTTATGGAGATCGAACATGACCGAAGCCTGTTTTGGCATACTTTTATATACCTGCAATTCTACGGATGAATGACTGGAGATGCACATGCGCCCTCTACAGTATGTTCCTCAAATTCTATTTATACATAAAGATCTTGTACTGAGTAATTAATAATTATAAGATCTTTGTTCAACATAGCAAAGGGCTGATCACAAATGGAATGCTCAATTCCATGTATTGTCCCATGAAAAAAAAATCATAAAAAAATTAATTTTGAAATTAACTTGCTCATTTTGCAGTAACATTTTAATTATTAAGTTGAACATAGAATTATACGGAAGCGTATTGCTCCCAACCAAAAAAAAAAAATAAATAAAATTCAGATATTATCTTGTTATTACGAGATATTATCTCGTAATAACGAGATAATTATCTCGTAATTACGAGATATTATCTCGTAATAACGAGATATTATCCCGTTATTACGAGATAATATCTCATAATTACGAGA